ATGACAGAATTATCTGATTATGGGATGGTTAATTTTTTAAGCCCATTGTTGAGACCTACCACTGAAAAGAAAGGACTTCATCTGAAACATTACTGCTCACTGACAAGGTACCTAGTCACCTAAGATCTCAATAATTTAATGCCTGTTAACAAAACAGCCATTATGCAGACCATAGATCAAAAAGTAATTTTGATTTTCAAGTCTTATTAAGAAATACATTTCATAACACTATAGCTGCCACTGATAGTGATTCCTCTGACGAATCTGGGCAAAGTAAATAGAAAACCTTCTGGAAACAATTCACCATTGTAGATGCCATTAAGAACGTTTGTGATACATGGGAAGCAGTCAGAATAACTCAGGAATGAGAAAGACTTCAGTGAAGAAAGGTACTACAGATATGACGGGAACACCAAGAGAACTAGAAGTGGAGTCTAAAGATGTGACTGAATTGCTGTAATCGCAAATTTGAACAGATGAGGACTTGCTTCTTGTGGGTGAGCAAAGAAAGTGGTTTCTTGAAGTAGAGTCTACTCCTGGTGAAATTGCTGTGACCATTGTTGAAATTACAACAAAGGATTTAGAATATTATATGAACTTAGTTGATAAAGCAGTAGCAGAGTTTGAGAAGATGGACTCTAATTCTGAAAGACATTCGTTCTACCGTAGATCAAATGCTATCAAACAGCATCATGTGCTACAGATAAATCTTTCATGAAAGGAAGAGTCAATTGATGCAGCAAACTTCATTAAGAAATTGCCACAGCCACCCAGCCTTCAGCAACTGCCACTCTGAACAGTCAGCAGCCATCAATATTGAGGCCAGACTCTCCATCAGCAAAAGATCGACCCACTGAAGACTTAGATGATCATTAGCACTCTTCAGTAATGAATTACTTCAAAAGTAAGATATGTGAGAAGCTATTTGGTGAAAGTTAAGGTATGTACATTTTTTAGATATAATGCTATTGCACACTTAATAGGCTGCAGTATAAACATAACTTCTAAAGCACTGGGAAACCAAACTATTTGTGACCATTTTTGATATGTACTTTATTGCAGTGGTCTGGATCTGAAGCTGCAATCTCTGTGGTATGCCTCTACTTACATGCTATTTGTTTTGGAAACCACTCCATGCAAGGCATCACACCTGTGCACACTGTACTCTTAAGGTTATGTATGCTGTAGAATGAAAGCCACTAAGGTCTATGCATTTATGTTTTCCCTCTTAATTGCTGTTCAGCCTTGTTATAGTCTCTTTAAAGCACAGTCTATAATGGCAAAAA